TGTCACTCTAAAGGAAATAAGTGACAGTATTTGTTACCAATGATAAAACTGAAGCTTTCAAGAGAAAATTAGAATGTTGGAAAACTTGAATCTATCTTTGAGTTTTACAGCTTCTCAATACATACTTTTCTGATAAGAATAATGGCGATATTAACAAATGTGGTTTTTTCAATGTATAATGATATGTGTCAACACTCAGAAGACCTACACTATTCACTGAACAAATATTTTCCAAATGAATAAGGCATAATGTCAACTGTCTTATTCGGCATTTGACAAACGGACAAAAGATCCATTCAAAGTACAAATGGGTCAATAGATTTCAACGTCATGGAGTATGAAAAAGCAGTGAGACTATACATTTGAATCAGTAGTTTGAAAGCAGTTAACACTCCTAAACAATTCCATTGAGGAAGATGACTAAAACTTCTTCAGAAGTTTTAGTTTTAGTAAGTTTCTCTTACTAAAAAAAACTTCTTCAGAAGTTTTAAGAGTTTAAACCTTTTTGATCAGTTTCTCTTCTATGGAAAACTAGCATCTAAACTAGCACCTAAGAAAACTTAGAAAAAATCCTGCATTAGTAACTCTATGAAGGAAAATATGTACACAGCTTACTCTAAGTTATCATGAATTAAGCATCTACACATTAATCTTAATACTCTAGAAAAGAGATTATCACATGATCTGTTGACAGAAAGCTCTTCTTTTGGAAACACACATGGAACCCAAACATAAAAGACAATTAAAGCATAAGCAGGTCCCATGGAGTCAATGTTTAGCCTCCTTATCCCTCAAACCTTTATCTCATTGCACATGCACATGAGACACCTTTAAAAAAGCCACTGACTTAGGCCACTGGTTTCTAAACTTGGCTGTGCTAAAATCAGAATCAGCACCATTAACTTTTCAGTAATAGATTCACAGGCTGCCTATCACAACAAAGTATATCAGAATCTCTCTGGATACAATCTACCATTCCGTATTACTTAAAATGTCCCCAGTGGGCAGGCACAGTGGCTCACGCCTGTTATCCCAGCACTTTGAGGCAGGCAGGTCACTTGAGGTCAGGAGTTCAAGACCAGCCTGAGCAACATGACAAAACCCCATCTCTACTAAAAATACAAAAGTTAACTGGGCATGGTGGCGAACGCCTGTAATCCCAGCTACTCAGGAGGCTGAGGCAAGAGAATCACTTGAACCCGGGAGGCGAAGGTTGCAGTGAGCCAAAACTGTGCCACTGCACTCCAGCCTGGACCACAGAGGGACACTCTATCTCAAAAAAAAAAAAAAGGCCGGGCGCGGTGGCTCACACCTGTAATCCCAGCACTCTGGGAGGTCGAGACGGGCGGATCACGAGGTCAGGAGATTGAGACCATCCTGGCTAACACGGGGTGAAACCCTGTCTCTACTAAAAAATACAAAAAAACTAGCCAGGCAAGGTGGCGGGCGCCTGTAGTCCCAGCTACTCGGGAGGCTGAGGCAGGAGAATGGCGTGAACCCGGGAGGCGGAGCTTGCAGTGAGCTGAGATCCGGCCCCTGCACTCCAGCCTGGGCGACAGAGTGAGACTCCATCTCAAAAAAAAAAAAAAAAAAAAAAAAAAGGGATCCGGGCAAAATGAATGGCTCACATCTGTAATCCCAGAACTTTGGGAGGCTGAGGCAGGAGGATCACCTGAGATCAGGAGTTCAAGACCAGCCTGACCAACATGGTGAAACTTCGTCTCTTACTAAAAATACAAAAATTAGCCGGGCATGGTGGCATGTGCCTGTAATCCCAGCTACTAGGGAGGCTGAGGCAGGAGACTCGCGTGAACCCAGGAGGCGGAGGTTGCAGTGAGCTGAGACTACACCACTGCACTTCAGCAAGACTCTGTTGCCAAAAAAAAAAAAAAGTCCCCAGATGATTTCTGAAGCTGCTCTTGGGAGGTCAGTGCTGCTAATCATTCTTACAGGTAACATCTCCAGTACTATTTCTCAAAAGGCAGCTCACTTAACAGTAAGAAGCTACAGCTGAGGAAATAAGAACCACTTTGGGCTTTGCCATTCACTAACAAAGTGATCTTCAACATCTCTCCACATCAATTTCTTCATCTGTGAAAGGTAGAAAACACACACACACACACACACACACACAAGGTAGAGAGGGCATTCATGAAAACTAGGTAAGATGCTGAATGTAAAAGTCTTACACAGTGCCTGGCAAGGTTAGATAATGAAAATACACTGATATATTAGGAGGGGTAGGAAGGATTAGATGACCTTAGCATCTGACAGAAGAGATGGATAAAAACTGTGTTTTCTATTTGAACTCTGCATAGTTCTCAAAATCCAGGAGAAGACATATTAGATGCTTCCTATTAGGGCAGTTAGATAGTATCTAGCATTTCAAAAGAAATAGCTGAGCTTCAGGATAGTAACTACGTTCGAAGCTGTGGAATCCTTTCAGGCTTCTAGCTGTAGCTCACCTCTGGGTCAGGGCCAAAGGCCTATTAGCCATAGCTGAGATGAAGATGACTAATATTATAACAACAACTATTCATATTATCCAATCAAATTTTCCTGTTTTAATTCCATAGTCATAAAACAAATTTTTCAATTCATAATCTGGCTTTTCAAACAAATTTTTTTCCTAGATCAGTGTCTCAACTATCCTAGTCAAAGCAATTATATTTCTCACTATAACTTAAGTTCTACAGAAAATCAAGCCTTAAGTCCCAAGACATCTACTGTTTGTAATGATTAACTTACCTCCCAGGCATTTAAAATGATACTAAGGGCACATTATCCTTGAGTGGACTGAGGACACACTACCTTTGGGAGGACTAAGAAAAATAATTCCTAAAATTCTTTTCTGTAGGTTTAATTCTCTCCAAAGAACAAACTGAAAAAGGCTGCATGAATTAACATTCCAGTTTACAAGTCTTTTGCGAACTTAGTTACAAAGGATTAGTCCAATGGCCTCTAGGTTCAACGATAAGAGAGATCGTAGACCTTGACTTCACAAACGTATAAACTGGCTTATCTCATCATATGTTCTAAAGAATGACTATACTTTAGTGTCATACAGGAGACAGACTTCCCCCCTAAAACTCTGTGTAGAGGTAATTTATATTTTATTTATACTAAAAAGGCAACATTCTACCTAATATAGCTCCATTTCAAAAATTTTAATAGGTCAAAATTGTGTTTTATTATACTTAATATATTCATCAGAAATATTATATTTTGAAATTTCATAAATTCTTTCTAAAATCTACCTGAAAGAAATAAAATTTCATGGGGCCTACAGATTTTAGATCAGAATAAAGGCAAAGGAGCAAAGCAGCTGAATTAAAACTCAATGGGGCCGGGCCCGGTGGCTCACGCCTGTAATCCCAACACTTTGGGA